GGATTTACAGCTCGATCGTAGCTTCAAATTTCCACCAAACTTCAATTTCCCTTTCCCTTCGTGGGCATTGCGATGCTGAACTCATCGCGCTTTCTTCGACGGGTTGCTCGTGGTATCTTAAGTCGCTTAATCTGTAATAGGGGTCTCAAACTCGTGTGCCGCGGAAATTCGTCGTGTGAAAATGGATTTTATATCCGCGAACCGCGAGTTTGAGATCCCCGATCGACGAGAAGCTTCCATGGCTTTTCTAGGTCGAGTGCGGTAATAAGAAAGTCAAATGCGGATAGGAAATTGAAATGCGTCGCCGTGCTGCTCGGGAGCGTCAAGAGTGACGTCGAGGAAAGTCAAATGTCGCCGGGGTGGATGTAGGAAAACCTGGAAGCTGGAACCTACTTTTACCCTTTTAGGGAAAAAGCAGCTTTTCCCTAAAAGGGTAAAAGCAGGTTCCACTCGAGGAAGGTCGAATGCGACAGAAACGCAAGGTATAACCGTCTTAGGGGGAATCGCCTTTCTCGTTGCATTTTCACCGCGTGCGGCTGCAGGCGCATTTACATATGCTGCTTCTGTTGCAATCGATGTAATGTGGCAATTACCGAGACCCGGTCAAAAATTTTCGTCGGTTTATCGTTGGGCCATAGTTGGGGAAGTTGGCTCGTCTTCGGCGAATGTGGCCGAGAAGGTTCCGAAAACCGGCGTGAGATGGAGCCAAAGTAGTCGCAATAGGGAGTCACTTTTTGAATTCTACTGAAATTAGTTCCCTGTCCCTTCGACACAGTTCGCTACGGTTTCTCGCGTAGATGTAAGAGGGAGACGATCGAATTCTTTGAAACATTTCTCGAATGATGTAACCTAGCCTTGAAATCAACGAGGAAATTCCTGCCCGGAGGTCCCTGGGAGGATCCTTCTACTTTCCACCATAGACCACAGGACTTTTCCTTTCCAGTTCAAGACCCCGTAACGTCTTATTATGTGTATGGGGTGCCTAGCTTCCTGTGGGAGAACAGATACCCTATTAATCCCATGTGATTCCGTTTCGGATACCTTAACATCCGAAAGGGGTATCGCTTGGGACATGCTTAGCTCTCGATAGGAGTAGAAATGTGTAAGAGACTCGGGCAAGGTCCCGATACTTCATCTCTCCCGGATGGAAGAGCAGGAGGAGGCCAAAAGAATGCATTATGCTCTAGTTACGCCTCGTGTCGGTTTTTTTTCCTATACCTTTTCACCATTGTGAAAAGTCGGCTTGTGATTGGGACACGTGCTGTTTCCCAACGGCCCCCAATTTCCCAGTGGCCCAACGATGGGCCAACGGGACATGCCCGACCGTAAGCCCGGCTTAAACCGACCGTAAGGCAACCATATGCCAGTGATGGCCCGACTACGGCTTACAGACGCGTCGACTAAAGCCATCGATGGCCCGATTAAACATTTTTGACTGGGTATGTGAGGGTTAGTCATAGGAATATGCAACCATAGCCACGTGAAAAAAAAATCCACTTTCTGACATCCAAATATCCCACGACCATCACCGATGAATCAGCCAAATCACCTGTGAAAAACATCGTTGAAAATTTCGTAAAAAGTGAAATACATCGGAAAACTTTTTTAAAACAACATTGAATGAATTTGAATCCCACAGGCCTCGCACCCCCTCGCCATCAACCTCTTCGCCATCCACCTCATCGCCATCCACCCTCTAGCCATCCCCCTCCTCGCCATCCACACGCGGCGAGAATGCATCGTTGGGCGCTGGCGCTCCTCCTCGGCCCGGGCCTCCTCGCCCTGGTCGCGGCGAAGAGGAGCCATCGGACCTGGAACGTGGGAGACCTGGCGCGTGAGTCGTCGTGCGATGCCCGGGGGGTTTTCAGCTGGAATCGGGAAAGGCTTTGGGGAGGGGAGAGGGGTAAAAACAAGACCTCGTTTTGTTAAGATGTCAAATCTCGATTGTTCTTCAAAAATTTCCAGTACTTTCTTGATATCGGCTGAAAATCCTAATACAGGGTGCTTGGAAAGACATTTCCTATTTTTAAATAGTAATAACTTTTGTAATTTTTGGACTAAGACTATGGTTTCTGTGCAAAAGAAACAGAATTCAATAGTTTTATGATTTCATTGATTAGTTTCTTCACGGTAAAGCCTCTTAAGGCGGAGGCGGAAGGAGAATGGCTTCCGTGCAGCTATTCACGCTGGACGAGTAAACGAAAAGTTCTCATTTATTGACATTGGCATTCTCGTTCACAAATCACAAAAATTATTACAATTTAAAAATCGGAAGCGACTTCGCAAACACCCTGTATGCATTCCTTCCTTTGGTACATTTGATGCGCATTCTCGAATGAATAATGCACGTGAAACGCTTTCTTGATGATCGGCAGAAATCCAGCCAAGAGATGGAATCGAGGGCGGATATGGAGAATTCGTCTTTGAAAGCGGAGAGAACATCACTTTCGTCTGCACGTTGACCGACGCTGGGTTAAACGAGTCGATCAGTGTCTCTCAGCTTAGATTCCGGATTCCCACCGATGAAGTCTTGAAACCGAATTTCACGTCGAGTGATACGACGGTGTCCTTAACGATTATCAACGCCGCGGCGGAAGATTCCGGTCGGTACGACTGCGGGAACGTTTCCAGCAACGGGACCTTTTCCATGCTTCACACCGTGCCCTTGGAAATCGGCTGTTAGAATGGCATTTCCTCTTTGTTTCTTTTTTTTTTTGCTCGAGCTGCGAATGAGGTTGTATGATGTTAACAGTTCCGCCGATGGGGCCGAAATCTTGGCGTTGCTGGTCGAAGGAGCTGGAACTGCTTCACTGCGTTTGGTCGAAAGAGGATAATCCCGTCACGACGTATTACGCTTTCTTCGTCCAGACCGAAGGGTGAGGATGATCTTCCACATTATCGTCTGCAAATATTCTGAATGATCTGATCTTGAATTCGATGCGACGAAAAAAAGGAGCGTAGCGGAATGCCTCCCGCCGAAGCCGAATGCAGAGGAATGCGAGGCGGGCAAGGGCCAGAGCCCTCCTTATCGTCCCACCGAGGAAGAAGTGGACATCGTCGTGAGGGCCCACAATCTGCTCCATAACGAGACCTTCACTTATTTCTTTGATCACTACCGGAACAGTGAGTCTGGTTTCTGTGCAATCCCGGAAATCTCGCTTCGTCGAGTGGGGAACGTCCCGACTAGTATTGCAGAAATGAGACTTTTCACTCGGAAAATATGCGCTGGATAATTCGAATCAGTTGCGATGCTATTTTTAACTTTCATATTTCTAGCTCATGAAGCGTCAAAAATTTTTTATCTCATGAGGGAAAATGGATTGCTATCGAACTCGAAACGTAGCTGAAACTTGTATGCAGGAAATTCATTTAGTGAACCTTGGCAGTCCAAAGAGTTGCAAAATATTAACATTTGTGTATGGATGAGGTAAAACGTTACAGTAGCACTTGAGCACCACCAAATAAAAAGTCGATGAAGACATCAATGATGATTGATGTCTCGAATAGCTTTCTCGGGAAAAGAAATCGTTGTGGTTCCAGGTAGTACAGCATATGAAAGAGTAATGAGAAAAATCGAAAGCATCCAGAATGTGGCGTTTCGAATAAGACTATTTGCATTACTAATTTGCATTAAAACCTATCATACAGAACATGACTGTCAAGTATGCAGTAGAAAAGTTTTGCTATCACAAACGATTTTCTTTTCTCCCGCCCTTTAAATTTCTTTGGTATTTATGGGCCAAACGCCCAACCCTTCTGGGCATTCAGCCCAGAAGGGTTTCAGCCCATAAGATCTCTTTCTGGGTTCCTTTAAAAGCAGTTCCTTCTCCCGATCTCCGGGGGGAAGCAAGGCGCTGTTAATCAGTCCTCATGACTCGACTTTTCTTTTAGGTTAATTAGAAATTCAACTAAGTTATTTAACCTGGAAGCAAACAGTACACTTTTACGGTCTGGATTAATGGTATTAGAAGAATTACGACTTTAACTCGCATCCTCGCAAGGAGATGAAAAATCTGGCTATTCCGAATTGGATATTGCCTATCGCTATTCACAGTCCGTTGGTTTCCATGAATTTAGTCAAGATCGTGGAATTGAAGGATGTGGATGTGAAGACAATCGATGCAGAAACGCTGAACGTCACCTGGGATCTCCCGTCTGATTTGCAGCTCTACAACGTCTCCATCGTCCATAACATCCAATGGGTGCCCCGGCCGTGGGCTGAGGAGCTCCATTTCGTTAGCGTATGTCGATTTTGATATTCGTTTTTCATACCTTCATCTCATATATAGTCCTTTCTGATGTGCATTTTTATTCCTGGTTGCACTGGTTATTTTTTTTAATAGCTGCAGTGCACAAAGTTCCTAAAAGATTTATTGGGTTCCGTTGAGCCCTGGACTACACGTACTTCCTCTAAACAAATATTCTGTGGGAAATTTTATGCTTCCTTGTCTCCATTTCCAATCATTTCATTTTTCTCCGGCATCCTTACAGACAAGAAGTATTAAGTAGATTTGATCGAATTTAACGAAAGATGCTCACATGAAGTATCGAACACAGTACTACACGGAGCAGCGAAATGCCTGTAAAGTCTTCAAGGATTGGATTCAATTGTAAGTTCTTCAAAGGATTGGACATGGCCATGTGCATAGCACGGTCCGATTTGCCCCGCGTTATCGTAGACTCGAGTTAAGGGAGAGAATGTACAATTTTTTTGCTTAAAATTTGGATGCTTCCGCATATTATTACTGATTGAGAGAAGTAAAAATTCAAAGTTAAGGGAAACCCAGACCGTACTTTCACCAACTGACTTTTCCAGAGCGTCGATGAGAGATTTGGAATAAGGTTTTCAATTGCAATCTAGGTGGTGAATTACACGATCCCTGGAGGTTCTCACCAGAAATCCTGGAACTATACATTGACAGGCCTCATACCGAATACCATATATGATATCAAGATCAAGGCCATTGTAGTGGACGCAGAATACTCGGATCTCTGGTCTCTTACTTCTGAGGCCGACAACAAAACCCTTCCTAAAGGCAAGGAGTCCCTAATCGCGCCTATATTGTTTTCCCTGCGCTCATTTCTCGCCGATTTTGTGCAACATTGTTAATCGGGCTTCTTCCATGTCTATTGCTTAGCACCAGACAGGAGCCCAGAAGTGCCGATCGGGAGCTTCCACGTTGAGAGGATCGATGATAGCCACAGGGATATTTACCTTTACTGGACGCCACTGAACGACTGGGAGCATTACTCAGACAACTTTACTTATTTGGTGAGATCATCAGGAATGTGAGATATGAAAGCGTCGTATTTTAGTATCGAAGGTACATTTCGAATTTGAAGGATTGAAGTTTTGGTCCGCCTTGCTTTAAGAGAAACTTCGTTTATGGATTTGAGTTTTAGTTTGAGAAAAATCCTCACAAATGTTCTTTTCATTGAGAAAGACAATAAGACAATAAGAGAAAGACAACCTTCATAAGACAAAAGCCCTTGCATCATATGGAAAAAGAAGTTGGGATGAATGAAGACTTTTACTCATGTGCTGCAGGTAGAGGGGCGGGAAATCCCAACAAAGAATGTGATCCGGCCGACATCTGTGTCGGACACATCCGCCGTGTTCAAGAACTTGAGCACCAAGTCATTATACAAATTCTACATCGTTTCCAGCAACGAAATGGGAAAAGCTCCACAAAAGTCTATCATTGATGTCGACAAGGAAAAGAACCGTAAGCGTTCCATTCGATCGACTCTTCATAATTGTTATTGTGACTCTTCTCATACAGTATGACACTGGTCACGATAGTGACGCTTAACTAGACATTTTATAATCCAACGGGAAATAGGGATCCCATGCCCAACGATCCTGAACGAGATCTTAACGGATGACGGGAGGTTTTTGCTGGAATGGAAGGCACCTGGAGAAGGAACGACGACGAATTACACTGTGTTTTGGTGCAGTTCCCCCCCGGCCTGGCCCAATTGCGATTCGGACATCGACTGGGATGTTGTTCCCAAGTCCAACACCACTTTCGAGCTGAATTCAACCGAATCCCTCAAATTCGCTGTGTCGGCCAACGGAGAATTCGGGCACAGCGGAATGGGCTGGGAGAAGATCGAGTATGGGCCAGACTCAGGTGAACCTTTCCCTCAGTGCGCAATCTTAAGTGGGGAGAAAAGAAAGGGAAGCGATTTAAGATGAAGTGAAAAAATGCTAACTGCAGATTCTGGGAGCTGGGGTTGCAGGAAGCCAATAGCGCGCAAAAACAAAGAGATCCCTCCCTATCAACGTCTGAGAGCCAAAGTAGGTGTGTGCAAGTCTCCCGAGCAAAATCAAGGTCATTCCTCCACATCACATCCATTTCATCTGCAAACTCCCCTGCCTGCATCCCCTTAAAAGCACTCAGAGAAAGTGATTGGCGTCAAACCGTTCCACTCTTTTTCTACAACGAATTCTTCAGGAAATAACCTCTTTCGCGAGGAAACCATCAGATCTAAAACCGATCAGGTGCATGTGTGCTTCTCATCTATCCTTTATAATCACAAAAGCAGAAAACTAACCCGACTGCGATAGACTTCACTTCGCTTGGTCTACTAACTCTACTTTTGCTCTCAGCATGTTATCCCAAAGGCTCTGGAAATTAATCATTTGCAAGTCTCGATCGACTCTAGTAAGCTCTGGTCAGATGGAGTTTTGGGAAGTACTTGTACACGGGTTCATGTCATGGTGTATAAGGAAATTTTCATCTCACTCTGCAATAGCTAACATCTTTCCGAAGAAACTCACTAATATTCATTCAAACTAATCCCTCATTTTCATAGGAGATGGGGTGTAGTGGCACTCTGGGAGCAGTGGGATATTTAATTTTTTTGTTTCTTTCAACTAGTTGGAGCTGCTTGTTATAATATCCCTCATATCTTCATAAGGTTAGGCTGCAAAAATACATCGTTGGCGGAAACAGTCACTGAAATGTGATATTTGTATGCTTTGACTAAATGTTCGAATTGTAGAAAACTATTGCTAACTAAATATTGAAAACTAAAACCCTTGGGTTCTCTTCTCTAATCGTCTTCTAATCGAAAGAATTCTTAGATTCTATATTTTTTATTTCGTGTAAACCCTTTTTTGACCACTTCGAGAAATTTTCCCGCTGTACCCAAGTCCCAACTGCACTAGCATTTCCCTCAAAGTCATACCTGCCAACAGCATGCAATCTTCATCAAAATTCAATTGAAATATTTCCAATCTCAACCAAATTTTCCCTTGCAGGGCTGAATCTCCCTATCTCGGTGCTGGTGATCACTGCCCTTATCGCTGTTGCCTTGGTCACATCAATTGTTCTTGGTGGCAAGAGGTTGCATTTCCAACTAGTTTTTCCATACATTTTGTTAGCTTCCATATATTTATTATTATTCCAGCAGTACCATTGCATCCTTGGCTTTTTGCATGTCTTTTCAGGTTGTGGAAGCATTTCCATAAGATGGGGGATATTCACGTGACGCTGCCATCAGCATTTTCTGACAATAATCTGAATGTATGTCCTGTCCAACTACGCAAGTTACGTTTATGCCTGTAAGCAATGAGAAAAGCTTATTGTACTCTCTTATTCAGAAGCCAGGGGACCACTCAAATCAAGGCTTTCTATACGAAACTGACAGCGTTAGCATGAACCAGACCATAACTGTGAGTCACTTCCTATTCTATGCAAATGAAGAACTAATATACAAGGTCGCAATTAGCCTATTAGCTCGGCCTCTTTCTCATGAAAATTCAGTTGCACATTTATTCACAGGGTTTCCAAGTGGTTAAACTGAACCACAAGGAAGATGGAGAGAGCGATAAGCCCAAGTCCACAGTCCTAGTCAGGGTAAGTTCTGATGACATGTAATACGTACATAAGCAATTTTAAAGTGCATTTCCCAATACTGCATTTCCTTCTCAAGCAGACAAATTCGCTGCCAGACTTGGGGAGAGACAAACCAACTCCCAAAGATTTCTTGCTGCAGCTTCACAGAAGAAGGAGCACAAAAACAGAAATCATCGCAGACTCTGAAGGATACTCGATGGAGCCTCTCATTCGTAGCACAAAAACAGGAATCATCGCAGATACTGCATTAGCATACTTTCAAATTGGAATTCAGGAAGAGGTATTACATTCAACGTAACGGGAGTTAGGGCATATCTTCTCTTGCTCTCACATCGGAGCAAAAATGATGATGTGAAAATAATGAACATGATCTTGCAGGAAACTTTGCCTGACACGAAAGGCTCCACTCTTGGGAGTCCCCCAACCAAGACGCGAGGCCCTGTTGAGGGATACCAGAAATTGCAAGATCCCTGGAAAGATTCCGGATATTGGATCGTTTGCGAAAGGGACTTGTGCCTCGCACCCAATGAAGGACGAAGCCAGTATATCTGTATTGACCTTGAGGATGGAGAGAAAGCACCTGACGACGATCATGATGACGACAGCAGGATTCTCGACAGTGATTACGATGAGTCCCTTGTCGACAACGGGGAACTCATGAAAAAACTCGGCATCGTGGGGATGGAGACACAAAGTGAAGGGCTGAGCCCTGGTTACGTTCAGGCCAGTGTGTTGTCCACCCGTGGTGCAAGGACCATGTGTCTCAGCTTGAGCTACGAACATGGAGAAGCAAGCGAGGAACAGCCAGGGGAATTTCTTCAAGTTAGCTGCATTTTTGAAGGCGAAAGCATCCCCAGTTAGGGCCTGGATTAGTATTCATGGTTTTAAGAATGCTGCAAGTTCAACAATCCCTATCATTTAGTGCAGTTGGGATTCGATGCCTTGAACTCTTAAGGCATTTTCCACAGGGCATTGCATCTTCAGATATCATGCCTTCAATCTTCATTCGAACTTCCACTTGATGCTTTTATCGGACGTGATTGATATTTATTTCAGGAATTTCTTGATTGGTGTCTTGCAAAAATACTTATGGTGAAGCAAGAGCTGTGTTCCTATCTTAATTATGGGAAATTTAAATAAAGATGAAGAATGAATCAATATCGCTCGGGTGTCCTTGCAAGGCCTTGTCTATTTGACTTGGGCGCATTGAACTCGGGTAGACCCTGTTCTGAAGAAGCAATTATCATATCAGTGACACCCGAAAGCAAGACGGAGAGACGCAGGAATGCATCGTCAATCCCGATTAATTAGCCAGTTTTATTTCTCTATGTCGATCTAAACCCTCCCAAGAACTTCTCAAAACTTCATCAACAGTGGAGAATGGAACCGAGATGAGGATCGAGATCGAAAGAACCATTCAACCAGTGAAAGGCTAGCCAAATTCATTCAGGACCCAATCCTGCTGGGCTCCCTCTGCCAGACATTCCGTTTCCACGCCCTCCACTGCTGACAGGAAAAACAAGGAAGATTGTCAGATATAAAAGCATTTTTTGGAAGACGCAGCACCATCATAGATCTCCACATCCACGAGACGTGCTTCGTGGCAGCGGAATCGGGAATCGACTCGTTCGGGAATTCGACCCAAAAGGATCCCTCAACGTAACACGCGTGTCTCATCGAGTCCGCTGCTCGGCCATGGAGGAGTTGATGTGCGCACGCTAGGTGGAGGATCGACAGTGACATCTAAAATGCGACCCTGTCAATGAATGGGATTCGAGCGGAGTGGAGCCTCTAGCTGTACTCTCCACTTTATGGTCTGGTTGGAAGCACTCAAGGAAGTAGTACTTCCTTCCATTGCCACCTTTACAGGCCTTCACTTTCCACACGCGATTTGAACCCCATGATGATTTCATTCATCACTCATATGGCCCTTCTCCCGCTATTTTGTTTTGCCCAGTAAGACTCGGGTGATCATATCTTTTATCTCCCCTGCAGGGGAGTCAAACGTAGCCCCCACAACAAAATGATAAAATCAATAACCTTTATCCACATCCTATCGAGTGAGGTTCAGATTTGAATTATGCTTCCTCCACGATAAACAGGAGTCTCCTTGGACAGCTTGACAAAGTTTAAATAAATGATTTGAGAAATTCGAGTGTCTTCCCTTAAGTTCTCTATGGGAAAAGTTCAAGTACCGGTTGTGGCCATGTGACTATTTTCACTGGGGATACCAAAGCACTAAGTTTTCGAGTCGAGGTTAAATCCATGCACGTTTGGAGCCCTGAAGAACGTGAAGTTATTCCATTTTCCTGGTTGCCCTGCAGGCAGTTGTGGAGAATTAAACCACATCCCTACGACATGTATTTAATAATTGCGCACAGAGGAGAACATATCGAACATGTTTTTTCATAGAGTATAACTTTCCCATCTTTACGGGTTCTTGATGCGAAATTTCAGTCATCTAACTCTATTTGTTCTTAGATGATATATATTTATAATGTTCCCATGAATAAAAAAAAAACAGTAAATATCAAGGGACTTTGTAAACACCCCGCAGGTACGAGCTTTGTCGCTGCAACGGTCTGCGGACCGAGTGTAGTTACATGCAGGTAGTTTAGCAGTACTGTGGCTATTGGGGGCCAGGGGCAACTTCAGGGAAACTCAACATTTCTAATTCGCAACTAATGCCTTTAACTTTGGCTTTAGGTACAAGAGTGGCGGTCCCGCGCGAGCACTATCTGAGAGAAATTACAGATGTCTGTTACAACATTCCAACCAGAGCAATCCGGCCTTACACGATACAGGAAAGTTTATTGCCACGACGTGAGGTCTTTTACACAGCCAAGGTCAAGCAACGAAATGAGAACAATTACATTCTTAAGCGAGAGGGACAGTTTCCTAGTCGAGGTATAGCCCGACATTTACAACTTCATGAACCTTCCGAGTAGCGTGGGGTGCAGGACCGGTTCCTTTCCCTCGGGTAAAGTCGGAGGCGTAACAGCATGTCGCCTTGCTAGTGATGCCTCTTAGGGAGACTGGATAAGGTTTGTAAGGCCATTTAAACGAAGCCTCTGGGAATGAGCCTCTACCCTCAAAGTGGACGGAAATTGGACTAAAAGGCGTCAAGAAAGGCGTTCCCCGTTTCCTAAGCTATTAATACTTAGTCCCATTGGCGGTTCGTGATATTTAGCGCTAGTGGCTCGTCTATGGAGAGGGGGTAGGCAGGGGAGGGCGCTGCCTACCCCCTCTCCATAGACGAACCACTAGCGCTAAGTATCACGAGCCGCCACTGCTTAGTCCTAAATAGTAACATGTGGTTGTGCCGAAGCTGGAGGCCACAAGTTGACTCCCCCTTCTCTAATCGTGTGCACTATTCTTTGACGGATAAGTAAAAAAAATCTCATTTGGCGTCAAGTGAGGAACATTCCCCAAGGCAAGGTTAAACGATGTACGGGAAGTCATTCGTAGTCAGAGGGTCACCAGATATCGAAAAAGTAAATCATCTTAATATAAGTCAGACGCGCAGGAGGAGAGGCGCCATATCTTGGCTGCTTTTGAAACACTCGAAACCATTGACTGATAATGCAATGAGGAAAAAGTGAAAAAGTAAATACAATCCTGCTCTCATTTTAGAGATCGCAACAGTAGCGTGGATAAAATATTGTGAAGTGCATTTTTCAAAGGCAAAGTGCATTTTTCCCTTCTTCAACCGACGACTAAAACCCCCTTCCACCCTCACTTGTACTCGACTCAAACGTTAGGCCTAGGCCCAACCCACGGACTGTAAACAGATCAGGGCTAGGCTTACCGTTTATCGTGCACAATAATCTCAACCAGGGCCACCCGGAGGGAACAATCTACCTCAGGCCTCGCGTATCAAGGGGCCTAAAGGGGCCCTCCGAAGGGCCTCCAAAGGATCTCCAAGGGGCCTAAAGGGGCCCTCTGAAGGGCCTCCAAGGGATCTCCAAGGGGCCCTCTGAAGGGCCTCCAAGGGATCTCCAAGGGGCCTCCGGTTTAGTTTTGCCCCAGGCCTCTGGAAACCTCTAACCTTAGGCGGCCCTGATCTCAATCCTTGACTTACAGATCCAATTAGACCTAAAAGCCCCTGGTCAATCTCAGGGTTTTTGAGATATCTCAGTGAGGACGTTTAGTGAGACCTACGAGGTGCTACACAAAAGTTCCCGAAATTTGAATGTCCCGCGCGAACCGGTTATAGTACGGCGCTCTGCCGCTAGATGCTGCTTGCTACACTCCCTCAGAGTCAGTCTACAAGTTTTCGTCGTCGTTGGTTATCGCGTTTGTTTCACAGTGCTTGTTTGTAACCTTGTGTTTGCAGTGTTTTGCGATTTCGAAATGAGTGAAGTGAAAGAGCAAAGAGTGTGCATTAAATTTTACTTCAAACTCGACAAAACGGCAGCTGAAACTCACCAAATGTTGAGAAAAGCTTTTGGTGATGAAGCAATGGGTCAAACGCAAACCTACGAATGGTTTAAGCGACTCAAAAACGGTCGCACATCCATTGAAGATGATGAACGTTCCGGACGTCCTTCATGTGCCAACAATGATGAAAATGTTGCCTTGGTTCGGGAAAAAATCCATGAAGACCGACGACAGACCATTCACGATGTTTGTGAGGCTCTTGGATTGTCGTATTGGACATGTCAACGAATTTTTTCCCATGAACTGGGTATGCGTCGAATTGCAGCAAAATTCGTCCTTCGGCTCCTGTCCAACGATCAGAAGCAACACTGAGTCTCTGTCTGCAGTGAGTTAAATAAACAGTTTGGAAATGACCCAAACTTCATCTCACGCATCATTCCTGGTGATGAAACCTGGGTTTACGGGTATGACCCCAAAACAAAACGACAATCGTCTCAATGGAAGAGCCCATCGTCACCGAGACCAAAAAAATCACCCCAAGTTCGAAGCAACATCAAGTCAATGTTGATTTGTTTTTTTTTGACATCAAAGGCATTATCCACAAAGAATTTGTTCCACCTGGCCAGACAGTAAATGGGTTATTTAACCTCGTAAGTTGCTATTCGCATGCTGAGTTCTTGAACAGTTCTACTTGGGTGATGCATGCCATAGGGTCACACCTTTCGGGGAACCTATTTTCAAATAGTTCCATTTGCTTCAAACGGAGACACATGGAAAAAAAGGGTTCAGAAGATATCATAAGTTAGGTGTCATGCGATCCTGAAGGTCCCATTTTCTTGTGAGAAAGGGCAACCTTGGACAATTTCTCTCATGGAAAGCTGGTTTTTAGAGTATTGTTGTTGAATGAGCTGTATCTAATACTAGCGAGTTTGTTTGCCCGAAGGGGAAACACACTCGCTATGGTCGCGACGTCGGCGCTCCATTACCTTGGATAGTGATATATTATTTTATTCTTTGCGAAATGGCAAACACGTATTTAAAGTACGTCCCACATTGAAGTACGTCACATATGGGACGAAAGTCTTGATTTTTATCAAAATCATTACTTCTATGATTTATAGTGTGCCTAACTTGAAATCTTATCTTGTGTCCCTTTTTGTAAGGATGGAACTTGGCAAGAAGTTGATCGTTGACGCACTGAGATTCAATGTCAAACTTCAAATTTCCAAAATATTTTTCAGGTTCATATTTCTTGGGAACGTAACGTTTTCATAGAATTTTTCATATCCCACCGAATCGGGCAAAAATAGAAAAGTAAATGGCGCACACATAACGGACGTGATGTTCATTTCAGGAAAAATTCAACGTTTGTCGTGCATCTCCTCAGAGCGCAGCTTTTCAGCGGGTCGTTTTTCCAAAATCATTTCTTCCGCCAGCAAAAAGGGGAAACTTATAAGGCTGAAATTGGGTGGTATGGAGTTCCCTCAGTCTACATTTCGGAAGAAAAATAAAAAGTTCGTTAAAACCCATCAGGGCACTTTTTTCAGTCTCATTTATTGAATTTTATTTTGATCCAACGAAACGAAGACAAAAAAGTTAAACTTCCATCAGAAGTACCTGTTTGATGGCTGAGTATAGGAAAACTGTATTCTCCATCCTTACAAAAAGGGACACAAGATAAGATTTCAAGTTAGGCACACTATAAATCATAGAAGTAATGATTTTGATAAAAATCAAGACTTTCGTCCTATATGTGACGTACTTCAATGTGGGACGTACTTTAAATACGTGTTTGCCATTTCGCAAAGAATAAAATAATATATCATTATCCAAGGTAATGGAGCGCCGACGTCGCGACCATAGCGAGTGTGTTTCCCCTTCGGGCAAACAAACTCGCTAGTATTAGATACAGCTCATTCAACAACAATACTCTAAAAACCAGCTTTCCGTGAGAGAAATTGTCCAAGGTTGCCCTTTCTCACAAGAAAATGGGACCTTCAGGATCGCATGACACCTAACTTATGATATCTTCTGAACCCTTTTTTTCTCGAAAGAATAAATAAGGAATTTGGATATTTACAGTTTACATTTCCCCAGTTTAAAGATGCGAAAATACACCTGACAAATCGATTTGTAAATACATACCCTAGGATATATTTCCAATTAGTAGACTGTTCCCAAAAAGTATTTGTCTGCAGATAATTCTATACTGTTTCCGTTTTTCGCATAAGCGCGATTTGCGGCAATGCAAATATCAAGAAACTTCTTGACATTAAAATTTGCGTCACAAGAAAATGAAATGAAAAGTCTGCATTTCCTTGTAGTTACAGTTCCTAAAACCATATTTTGCCAATACTTTGGCTTTCTTTTTGTTTCCGTTTCACCGACAATGTAGTGTTATAGGGAACGTCTCCCTAAAAATAATAGCCTCAAGGATTTGTATCCCAAAAGTATGATTTCGTTCCACGGGTGTATTTCAATAATTGCATGTCTACTAGGATTCAGCTTTCTATATCACTGCTTCATTGAAGCAAATTAATGTATTCAAATAATTCCCAATCACAAAAGTGCCCTAAAGCAATCAAATTGTTTGTCAAATCTGTTCTTTAATCAGTACCACGAAAATTACTGGATCGCAACATTAAATATTTTTACATTAGAGAGTGTTGATGAAGTAAAAATGTATGTTTCTTAAAATACAGTCGTAAAAATTTGCCAGGAAGATCAGTGCTTCACAATTAATTTTACTGAAAAAAATACCCAAAAAAAACTTCCGATCCTAATCTAGCATCCCCTGTCTACCTCTTATTGTTAAAATAAATGCATTTCTGGATATTTGCCCTAAAAAAAAATACTCTTGAATGGATGGAAGTTTGAATTAAAAACTTAATTCAAGTCAGTACCTTGAGAAGTACATCTCCACAAATATTCAATGTTTGTTTTTTATGTGAAACTAAAAAGTAAACTTCGAATAACGTCCATCTCGGAAAATTTGCACTAGCGGAATGAATCTGAAAGTAAAAAATCCATGAATCAGGATGTGGAGAACAACTCGAGTACTACATGTGGTGTTTCTCTTTTTACATTTTTATCTATGAAAAAAAGTTTCATGTGCATTTTGCCCCCTGCAATATATGTCCTAGGGTATGTACCTCAAGAGTAAGAATTCCCTTGAGTTACTTCCTCCCAGTACTACTTTTCTTCCCTATATCAGCTCCCTACCCATTCCCGTTTTGCTTGAGCGAAGAAATCTGGATCACCTCCCTGCCAAAAAATGTACTCACAGGGGATATACCTAAAAACATTATACAGGGTATGGTAAAAAAGAAAACACCAACTTTTAATCTACATACTGTATCTTCCCTCTGAACAGAGTTATTTTCACGAAACTTTCTCATTGCATATATATTTACAACTGATAACTGAAATTTCACACAAATTTGTTGCACCGAAACAATTCTACCAGCAATTATTGAAAATAAGTTAGATATTGAGAATGGACAGGAGCTCCTGCGCGTAGTGGAGTGGAAAACACTCGAGCACCGACCCTCCTACTTTGCCGCCTCCTAGGGAAGGGGCTCGATTCTTTAAAGCAAGATATATTATTGAAAATATATCCTCCAATGAAATTTGCAGGAAGGGAGGTGGAGTAAAACACCCAATGATGGACCTGTTAGGGGCGCGCTTCAAGTGATGAGCTACGTTGCAAGAAATATATTTAAAAAAGGCATTTTTTGCATGAATATCTCCGAAGTTTGTATGTGCTTGATCGTTGATTCTCGAAGAAACTAAGTGCAGAGCGTTCTGTGAACGTGGACGTGACGAGGCCCAATAAAAAGTGTGAACCTTGTCCAGCTAATGGATTGTGCAGGAGCGGTTCTTGTAGGACGAACATGAGCTGTGAAAGCTTTCTCTTGCATCTGTAGCGGCAGCCGCTGTCTTTCTTAATGATTATTCCCTGGTGTGGAGATGTCGAAAGACATCAGAGGTCGGCAACCTACGACCTGCGAAATTTATTTTATTTCATTTATTCTTTCCAAAGCCTCACATTCCTTCCTCTGGCCAGATCACTAACACAATCAATTATACACTCCGGTCAACACTTGGTCTGGTTGAACAAACGGTCTTGCAATCCATTCTGCTAATATAATTTCATGTATACCCATTAACAGTTGTCGCTATTAGCTAATCGCCTATCTGGTGCCTAGGAAATTATTGTCACAATATATTCACAGTTTGAAAATAATTTAGTAAAAGTTGATCGTGTATCTGCAGTACTTGATGCACCATGGATTATGATAATTTTCCAATTTTCCCTCACAAATAAGAAGGCCTCATTGGGATTGGGAATATATATGAAGATTTGAACGTCCTTTGAGAGGAATGGGTGAGTGAAGAAGACAGACGGGGACGTGTTAAGGAAGAGACCAGAGTTGCCAGATGGTTCTGCGAAGGAATCACATTATGCGAGAAAATATTGCGAATGGATAAAAAAAAACAATTCTGGTAACGGAACTGTAGCCTAACAAGTTCTCACAACAGAACCTCCTAAACACGTAATAAAAGTCATTTTCAGGAATCAAGGAATTATTCGTAGCTTTGTGATGCCAACCGTCAAGGTGCTATTGTCAATGGCACAGTGGTGTCCTTGCCCAAAATTTCCTGGTTTGACAACAATGGTTTAGACGGTATAGTCAACACCGCACAATGGAATACCGCTTAATGGAATGCCATTGCATGGTTCCGATTTACAGTACGATACGGCATATGATGTCGATTATTGGAATACTCCAGATCATAGAATAAAGTTCGCTGGTCCTATAAGTATTCCAATATCTGGAGTCGAATGAATAAGCATGACATCCCAGGGGGAGGGGACAGGCAACCGGTAAGGGGCAAGCTTGTGCCTGTGACCTTAGAACTCTTGCTATTGTTAAGAGACTCCCCTGAGGGAAGCTTCTTGCCCTGGCTCTTCATGACTTGCCATGGGGGGAAGAGGGGGAGGAGGGAAACTACCTCCCGAACATCGGGCCCTTCGCTGGAAGAGCGAAAAAGATCGTGCTTCTGAAGCCAAGGTTTTTTGCTGGGGTCGAGTTAATAAAAGACCAGTGCGGTTCTTCGGCGGGCAGACGGTTTGACACTAAAATGTCAAAGGTTATACAGTAAGAAAGACACCACCTTCTTCTTCCATTAGCTCGTCATGCCAACCGAGATGTTCAGTCACGTATGTTTATAATGTGTTGAATGTCAACTGTTGGACTACAAACTGCTGAGGGTTTACGACTACTAAACGATAAACAAATAATTAAATTACTGTGGAGTTTCAACCATGATCTTTTTTTCGTTTCCGTGTGAAAATTCAGCATTTTAAGTATTTTTTTATTATTATTGGAATTTCATCATTATTTTACGTTTCATATCATGAACATATATTATATCACCATTATATTATCATCATATATCTACTCTAAACCATTACCTCCCATTGGAAAGCTTGTATTACTGAGCTAAGTTCATGAAATGTTCACTTCATTGGGTGGGAAAGACTTAAACAACTCCAAAGTAAACGTATGAGGAGTATTGCATGCATAAAGATGATTAAGCCATGGATAGAGACCATTGTGACCATTGTGATGGAGTCAATATTTTTGCGGACTAATATTTTTGGTGACAAGTTCATTATTATTTGGTGGGTGATTAAATACCTTTCGTTATAATTGGATTCAGTCAAAGAAAGCGCGAAGTGGAAGACCATTCCACTTAGTTCCACGATATATCTGCCCATCGCTTCCCTGCTAATAAATCCATAATATTATTTCAGGTTTAAGATGCAACAAAAATCCGCTACTGACAAAAATTACCTCTGAATTAGCAAAGAAAAAGTTTGAGCAGATACACAAAACTAACGACTATCATGAAAGAGGACGATTCACGTTCAATTGTCTTCTTTGCTTCATTCTAAGAGTATAAAAAGTTCAGTTAAGTACATGTCACATTATTTGAAGCAAGAAAACCTACCATTCCACTATCCCCCAGTGTCCCCCATATGTCTAAGAGCAAGCTGTTTTTTTCCCATTAGGTTCGGCAGATTTTTGAATGCAATATGAAAGGAGAGACGCAGCTCATCGATGTACCCATTCAGAAAACAACTGTCTTCAGAGACTGGTACGTGTCTTACCGCATTAAAACGGATGACATATTTTTAGGCCGACAGAGGAAGGCAGTGGAAATTTTGCTCACAGGAAAATCGTCAGAAAGTGAGGCTTCATTGTTCGACAATGTATTTCATGACAAATAAGAGTATTAGGAGGCATTGTAGTTTTCATGTCAAACAGGTATAACGGATTTCTTGATCGGTCTGATGAATTTCACATTGGGAGTCACATGGGAATCTTCTCGCCAGTATCGCCTTCAAGATGAACTTCGTCCAGAGAGTCGTATCCTGGTTCTGGAAGTGCCTTTTCCAAATGATGAGGTCTGCTTCTTGCAAATCATCACCATCCCTCCAGACGTGCCGATGAAAGGAATCCAGAAGGCCTTTTTAATCTGTCATAGTCCTTCAGCCTTGTGGGTAGCTCTTCCTGCTGATGAGAAGAGTGTAGTGCCTGAAACCGTCTTGAAGATGATGAATCAGCATAGAAGAACGGTGCCCATTCAAATGATGATCACACGTGTTACTGGCTCCTTTGAATGCAAGGACTTGGACTTTCAGTATCATAGTTTGCATGTATTCAATTCTTCTATGCTTCCCAACACAATCATGTTTTATGATCCATCCCATAGAACACAACATAAGTCCAGGAGAGAGCTATGGAAAGAAAATGAATCGAGTTACAAAACCCTTTTATCCACTCTTCTAATGAAAAATGACATTACTTCATGAATGCAAACATTCAGGAAAATATTTTCCCTCAAACATATAGCAAAAATAAGTTTTCACATGTAATGCAATAAGCCACGAGCCAGTGATGTCTCATTTCGGCTGTTCCATAACGTTTCATGTTCCTCAAATAAGCTGCTTAGGTTGAAGTCCTGTTAAGGCAATATGCATTTTCAGAACAGATCACTGAATTGGAAAATGAACCATCTGTTCCTCCCAATGTAAAACCGGTCTTCCACCTTCTGTATTGCTTGAGCTTGAACCATCTCGATTTCCAGCACATATATTTAAGCAGGAAACACGTGATTGAAGGTATGGGTAAGCGACAGTCTAAAGACTAATTCCACTCAAAATTATTCATCTTCATACGTTACTCTGCCTTGTATAAACAAAAGCCCTGTCATATATTGAACACCCATCGTACAAACCTTTTGCACGAAGGAAAATAATTGCAGTCATGGCGGACCTAATTTCGATACTCGTTGATCAAAATAAGGTCTAGTTTTCATGACAGCAGCATTTCACGGTAATGACAAAACCAAAAGACCGATGCAACAAGAGCAAAGAATAATTTGTATGTGAATATTTTGTTTAATTCCTGCTGTTTCCGTTGGGGTTCTTGTCATTGCACAATGCCAGCTTCGTACATAATATAGAAGTAAAGAAGAAATTCATTTAGTTAAAACTCATTCCCATAGTGACGAAAAACTCCATCTTCTTAGTTTACTGATAGAACCGATAGTTAAGACCACAGGAAGCTTGAAACTGAGGTCTCCCCATGAGCTGCGTTGATGATCAGCACGAAATCCGGCAATATTCCATTAAATAGCCGAATATAAATTGCGTCCCCCAATCATACTGCGTTCATATTTCCCGATGCACTTGAGACTACAAGGTACATGCTAAGATATGAAATAAAGACGTTCCATACTCGTCACCTAGTTTCTATCTTCATGAAAACATCCTGTTTCATGAATATATACCCTTACGAAAATGTCTTATAGGAACCTAAAGGAATCCCATAGGATCCTATATGCCCCAAGGAGTTCAGTTTGGGACCTATAGAGATCCCTTTAGAACCTATTGGGTTCGCAATAGGACTGTAGGATTCTCTATAGGACCTATAGTATTCCCTAAAGTGCCTATACGAAACCCTATAAGACCCATAGGGTTCCCTATAGGGCTTCTACGGAACCCTATAGGCCCATAGGGTTCCGTTTGAAGTTCTCCTCTAGGCCACGAGATGGAAGTATTGGGTTCTCACATATAATCATAGAGTCCCGTGAAGAAATATGACCTTTTTCCTTTTGAAAACCACGGACGTAACTGAGTAGTATCTATCCAAATGGAGTTTCAGTAAAGAGACGTGCTCGCAGGTTCTGTCTTCTGTTTCCTTAGGTCGAGAGAAGAATACTACTTCTTCATACCGAAGGAAGTAGACGTGCAATCCAGCGACGTATGTGGGGCGGGGCCATAAATTATGCAGACTCCAGCAGTACTGGTATTAATAATGCATATATCCCTACCTTGGAAAAACCCCTAATCGGTTTTTGATTTGCACCGAAATGCTGCGCCAATATCAACCCCGGTCGTGTTTTCCGTCGTAATACCTGGGTTTCGAAACCTAAAATAGCCTCCCTGAATCCTATGTCAGGAGACTTATAAGACCCTATAGTATCCTTTAGGATCCTATAGGTTTTTCGTGTTTCAAAAACCTATGGGAAAGTCTATAGGTTTCCTATAAGAAATAACTATTGGTTTTCGTATAGGACATTTCCGTAAGGGTATTCACGAAACAGGATGCAGTTGACTCCTAATGTATAGTTGAAACTGAAAATTTGAAATGGAAATAGGCTTACTGGTGGGGAATGTTGTTCTTCAATGACTATTCGCGTGTCGATAAGGAGCAAGACCCATGTATCTATAGTTTCCAAACCTACTCTATTTCCTTAATTCCTTAATGTAATTGAGACTGCAGCTGTGACAACTTAGAAACTGAACTGGAAGTTGCATGTGTTACTTGTCTTTCAGTCAACTGGAAATGAAACTATGAATGCGATATTTGTGAATTCAACCATACTAAATATATAGCTTATGGAGATTCAAATCATGTTGTCAGTTAAAAAAGTGCTGATCTGAAATGACAGAAGTTGCACTTCCAGACATTTGGAGGTTGCCTGATGAGCGAGGTATATCAAGCAACTGCAGCTGTTCTTCGTAGCATGAAATTAACTGGTGATGATTTTAATAGATAATGAGAGACAATTGCGTGTGCGCTGCATGGAAGACTAAGCAAAAAAATGTATTCGTCTTTTCTTCAAGTGTCACCAGTGACTCGTACAGGACGGTGGTGCTTGGGGCGGTGCGAGTCACCTGTGACTGGCATTCATGAAAGCACTTGGGAATTATTACCATAATGATATATGCATATTCACTATGACAGTGACAGTATGCCACAAGCATGATGTAAAGCGCATTGGGATGTACCCGTACGTATTTTGGCCTCGTAGTGGACGGTAATCCTTCAGAAATTTTAAACATGCCACGGATGTTTTCCGAAAAGTTCTCTGCATTGATTTTTAGAATGAGTTACTCTCTAAGAATCACTATTAAATTTCGGTGAATACTGGTTATATCTAATAGTATTCATTTTGGAAAGTTAGGTGTAAATTTTGCCCCATTTACATTCACTGCCGAATATTTCATACAGTCACTTTGAAAGTTTCCGTCGAGCAAGAATTATTCTCGAAAAAGACACTCGATTCATCGATTTCCATGTTCTACTCAACAGCACATGGACAGTAATCCATCAACTGATAGCAATGGCTTTGGGCTAGCACAGTCAAGCTCACGAGACGACCCGGAAGTGGTCGAAGTTCATCCTGGAGGGGAGGACGGATTTTTTGACGAACCACGAAGTAACCGACCAGTTTCTCCTTCAACACCAGCCAAAGTCCAGCAAGTCGTCGACCTCCTTCAAGAAGACCGGCAAAAGAAAACCCATTTTGCTGCGACCTTTTTTTCTTATCTCAGTTCTTAAATGATGATGCGATGAACGGGATCGGGTGAGATGTCCATATCATGTGCTATCTGTGTGGTGTTGATTGGCTAAATTTGGTGGCTCAGTTTACACCCAACTTTGTCAAGCGAATACTATTGCATATAACCAGTGCCCACAGAAATTTAGTAAAGATTCATCGAGAGTAACTCATTTTAAAAATCAATATAGAGAACTTTTCGGACAATCCTCGTACATAAATCAGTCAAATGAAAAGGGAAAATAAATTATCTGCAGTGAGTGTATTTGTCTCAAAGTCTTCCCCACCATTGTTGAGGCACAGATTCCTGCATTTCGCAATATTGTTTATACAAGCATCATAAAACGTATGTGGTTGCTGTTTGAATCAACATGTGGCAGCCTTTTACATTTCATTGTCCGTGCATAGACGCTATGCTATGCCATGAATATGGTGCGAATTGGGGTTAGACCGATTCCCAAATCAGCAGTCAATTCATGCAGTGAAACGTTTCTGTTGCTCCGTATTAGTCGGTCAACTTGCCATCATTTTTCTGGTGACATCGTTCCCCTGACCTGAAACACCCGCTTCAGAAACGTTTGCATCACGTGTACGCTCGTCGTCACGGTAAAAAGCTGTTAGTGTCAGCACTCATTCAGAAATTGAATTAGAGCACGCCGGGTTTCCGCAGGCGCACAATGCACTGTGAGTGCCATGTTGCTCAAGCGATTGTGCTTTTCCTTCTGATCGCATGGTGTTGCCAGATAGGACAGTTATTCATGTAATCCCTGAAAAACATACACTGAAAGAATTGGACGTACATCAATGGGAAATTATTATATATCGCGATTTTCTCGTTTTCATTTGCCTGACCCTCGAGGTTTTGGCCTTGCGTATCCTCATCGCCGACAAAAGTCACGTTTGTAACCCCCCATGTTGATATTTACTGGAAATGAACAAAATCCGTCAAAGAAAAACAAAATTAAATGCGCATGCCGGAATTTTCAAGAGGGGCCGCGCGCATCAGGGGTACCATTTGTGACCCTTGAGTATTTCCTACCTAGACGGGAAGAAGATACTCCTACCGAGTAGTGCCTATTTTACACTATTAAATCGACTGTGGAAATGCTTGGTTCGGAAAGTTTGGGGATTTTTTCCTGAAATTTTCACGAGTCTACATAGTCTCTACATAAAGTGGTGGAATTTTTCCACCCCTTTTCAGAATTCCACCATTAAAGAGGTGGAATTCTCTGAACGACTATCTGTAGCTATTCAGGCACAATTGACCATCACACGCCTCCCATTTCATTTTTATATCTTTAAAATTCTTTTTTTTTGGCATCGTTGATTAGTGCCATTGGTGTCATCAAGAAGAGGTCAATGTGTCTTTGACTTCCTTGATCTTTTGAAAGATTCAGCAAAGGCTTTCGAGGCTTCATCTTCCTGACGCCTCCAGTGTTTTCTCCAGGTTCACATACATAATCATCATCCGCATTGGTGCTCAGAATCTCAGGTTCTTCTGCATCTGACGAAAGTTACTTTGCAAGCATCTTAAACTGGATGAATTTCATTCCATGCCTTTCATCGGTACTGTCACTGCGAAAGTAGACCGGAAGTTTGATGAAAAAAACTCCAATAAATTAAACATTTAGATTGTTTATTTGATGCTACTGGCATTGATTCGATAGTAACTGTTCAACCTGGCAACAAGATCCACACCACCCATCTCGGGTAGTATGTAGTCAACAGGGCATGCATTTTCAATATAACCTATCCCATCCTTGGACGATTCCTTGCAATTACTCATTGGCTTCATGCCATGAACGACTGAGGCAAGAAAATACGCGTTGAAAAACTGTTGCTGCTATTTCGCGATTTTTGCGTACTACAACATCTGAAGCACCTATTCCCTCTTTCATGAGGTCTTGAGGTCTCTCTCGGCTTCAACCAGAATTTGCCTTCAAAAACGATAAAAGAGGCGCATTTTGCACTTGCAATGTCGAGAAGACGGAATATAGGCATGACATAAACTGGCCTAATGTTTCCCACTTTTGACTTCGCACGAACATAATTTTCTTACTTGATATGATATCTAAAACCCAATACCTTTTTCAGGTAGCAA